CAGAGCGCAGGGTCAGCCATTGTACAGCGCCCCTGGAGCAGTTGAGATTAAGGGCCTTGCTCAGGACCCCAGCAGAGTAGGATTCCTCTGCCGGCTGCGGGATTTGAACCTTCCAGCCACAGGCGCAGGTCCTGAGCCACAGAGCCACTGCTCTGCCCCACTGAAGTGCAGCACAATGTTCGAAACCCCCCAGCCGCCGGGAGACATGAGGGAAAGGGCTTGATCCCCCCCTTCTCCACAGGCACAAGGCAGCTGCTGAATTTTGAGAGACCTAGAAAACCTCCTGGATTACGGACCTCAAGGACAAGGCTTGATTCCAGAACAGAATTACACAGACAGCAGGAGGTCTTTCTGTCCATTTAGCCTATTCAGCACTTAGTCACTAATTAATATGTGGATCCCGTCCGATTAGTCCATAACCTGTTGTCAGAGCCCGGGTGCTCACAGTCGGTAGTGCAGTGATCAGCATTGCTGCCTCACAGCCCCGTGGCCCTGGGTTCGATTCCTGGGCTGTTGGCTGCAGGCACGGAGTTTCTATGCCATCTTCGTGTTCATGTGGGTCTCCTCCCACAGTCCAAACACGCGCTGGGAGGTTAATTGTTTAATGGGAAGATTGACCCTAGGTGTGAGTGTGTTTGTGTCTGCGTGTGCCCTGTGATGGCCTGGCGCCCGTTGCCTGCTGGGATAGGGTCAGGCCCAGCGACCCTGAACTGGAGAAAGGGCTTCCACAATGGCCGGATGCACAGATGCCCACTGTGGTGTCTGTGGCTGTACTTCGTGTGCTCTGTGGCCTCTCTCTGCTCTGCTCTCAGCCACGGTTCCCTGATCCCTGAGCTCTGCTTTCTCCTGAACTCAAAACCCCACTTAGCTGTGGGATACCCACTCACTTACGACCCTGTGGGTCGATGGACAGGCGAAGAGGCAGGAGGCGAGGGGGGCGGGGCTGCAGGAAGCAGGGGCGAGGTGGGGGCGGGTCAGGGGGCGGGTCAGGGGGCGGAGCAAGAGATGGGCGGTGCGAGAAGGCGGGACGAGGGGCGGGGCATACCGGTGACGTTCTTGCGCAGCTCGTCGTCGGACTCCCTCAGCGCCTCGATGAGCTGCGGGATGCCGCCGGCCTCGATCAGAGCGCTCTTGTTGTCCAGGTTCTCGTAGATGAGGTTGCGCATGGCGCCCGTGGCGTAGCGCTGCACGTCCTGGCTCTCGCTGTTGAAGAGCTTCACCAGCGCGGGGATGGCCTTCAGCTGGCGCGCCTGCGGACACACACACAC